GGCTGGCATGGTTCTTGAGTTTATGCTGTGGATGCTGGGGGCGTGTGTATTTATTTGCTGCTGTGTTGCTGACTCCAGTTCGCCATGGCTTCTCGTTATGCTGAGCATGTTTTCTAGATGCTGAGGGTGTTTTTCTTTACGCTTGGGCTGTTTGTTCGGGACTACGGTTAAAGTCCGGCGACGCATACTTTAAATGGAAGCCTCAGACCTTAAACCCTACGTAAATCTTGCGACTACGAATTTAGTCGGCAGGGAGTCACTCGAATCTTAGGTATCGCGATCTTAAGTTGTTAGGATTAGCGTACAAGCGTGACTACAAGGAAGTAACATCTTGCTTTTGCAGGATCTGGTCGCAATGCGTTATTGCAAGGTCGGAAAGAGCTGACATCGCTGTTGGTCAAGACTGGCATTCTTGAGCCTCAGGGAAGCCACGCCACCACAACACCAAGACACCCCCACACCACCACACCACCGCGTCAACACCACACCACCGCACCAAGACACCCCCACACCACCACACCACCGCGCCACCGCACCACCACACCACGACACCATGACACCGCACCACCACACCACCGCGCCACCACCACACCAAGACACCCCCACACCACCACACCACTGCGTCACGACACCACACCACCACAACACCACACCACCGCGCCACCACAACGCCACACCACCACGCCACACCACCACGCCACCACACCACTCCACCACGCCACCACACCACTCCCTGCCACTCCATACCACTCCATACCACACCATACTACTTCGCACCACAACACCACAACACCACACCACCACACCACCACATTCCATGCATTCCATGCAGAGTGTGAGCGTGAACCTGAAAAGTATGCTGGTGCTCTGTGTGGGGGACCTCTTGAGCTTCAAGGAGGCGCCTTGAACCACGCAGCGGTTAAGAGGTACTTCCAGAACCATGTCATGGCGTGTGAAGGCCATTGGGTCAATGCCCATTGTCCCAGGATCGCCAGGGCAAGTACATGCACAAAGTTTGCACATACATCCAATCACCTTCTCCATGCATAGTGTGAGCATGAAAAGTATGCTATCACCCCAGCACAGGAAATGATTGCAGGGGGGGTGGGGGGTCAAATGATTGCATTTCCTGCAATCATTCTTTTTTCTTTAACCCCGCCCAGAAATGATTGCAGGGGGGGGGTCTTGGAGCTCGCAACATAG